GGGGGCACAAACTCAAAGATCATTGCAGAATTTTGATATTGGGGGTGAGCGTGAAAGAATGCCCGAGCCAATCATACGTGCATTTGGTATTCTCAAAAAGTGTGCTGCCAAGGTTGGTTAATCTGTAATGCTGTTTCCTTCTTAAACAGTTCGTAACTTCTTCTTTATCTATTTCATTTTATCAAAATTTTGGTATAGTAAGTATGTGGTAATGCTTGACAGCAGTTGTTTTGGTCTTATTTTAACTTGTAGTTATGATATTGCAGGTGAACATGGAATATGGCCTTGACCGATCTATTGGAAAAGCAATAATGCAAGCTGCTGAAGAGGTTGCAGAAGGAAAGTTGAATGACCACTTCCCTTTGGTGGTTTGGCAAACTGGTAGTGGCACTCAAAGTAACATGAATGCTAACGAGGTAATTAGAAGTTCATGAACTTGCAGGTCCTATGAGGGCTTGTTCTAAGCTTGAGCCTTATTAATTTGCTTCTAGCAGGTCCAGTAATAATCTTGTGAGAAAGCACGGGAGAAAATATTATTAATTATCTAAAGTGTTGTACAATGCCCTATTTACATACAGTGATTACAAAATAATAGGTATCTACATCCGATGTGAGACACTATACATGACTAACTACTTAACAAATCTTAATGCTTAAAGTTCATTCAAAGAAACGGTCTTCATGGAAAAAACAAAATTTGATGCTCTAAAAGTTAGTTTAAGCTTTAGTCCGTGATTAAGCTTGTCCTCCTCTTATAGGACTTCTCATCTCGTTGTTACTAACCTCTTGTTTCTAGAAAAAAATATTATCACTTCAATGTGGACAAATTACAAACTCTCTCTTGTACTATGACTCATTTGCAAATACTTCCAGGATGAACGTGTCCCTTAAATCTTATACTTGAGTATAAACAGTCATATGGGAACAAATTCATTACTGTCCTTTATAGCTACCAGAGGCAAGAAAAAAAAATAAAACAAATAAGTTGGTACAGGGGAAAGGGTACGGAATGATGCCAAATTCTTGTCTCCCTTCACTTTGATATTTTTATTCCATCCTTTATGGAGTTCTCTTTATCTAAAACCCGGTGTCCTAATTTTCAATGTTCTTGGGTTTCACTAGTTCCGGTTTTGACGTGAAGCTTGATTAGAGAAGGTAGGAATTGGGCTATATTAAGAGTGGGAAGATTGCACATAAGGAGATGGGTGCAGTGACTGAGGTAGGTTTTGCCCACAATTAAGTATATGTAATTTCATTGGTGACTTCTATGTAATGCTTTTTCTTATCAAAAAGGTAATTTTATCTGTTTGTATTACATTATGGCATTATGCCAATCTTTTTCGTAATTAAACAATGACTTTGGTGATACAAAGGGTGATGTTGGATACAAAAATTTGTCCGGTATGCTACCTGATGGAACCTAAGATTTCAAAATGTAGCTCTTAATATTAATACCGTCAATCAAATGTCCGAGCTCATTCCAAAGAATGTGCGATGTATTGGCAAACACCAGATGAATTTGAAAAAGTGTTCCTGGAGGCTGGATCTACTAATAAAAAAAGTGTTCCCTAATCTTGATATGCAGAGCATGATCTATTTTAGTTTAGTGGCATGTAGTTAAGTATCCCACATTGGCTGAGGGAAATTTGTTGGTGTTTCCTTATATGATTTTGCGTATTATCTTCTGAACTAACTTATGGGGGGAAATTAGGTTCAAGGTCCATTTTCTCCGCATGGTAGCAGAGAAAGTCATCCCTATTCTTGGTTTACCCATATGTTGGGCCCTTATGCTATATTGTCTATGCACCAGATGTTCAGTCGTGGGTGTGTAGGAATGAGGGTGTTAAGTGTCCCATATTGGTTGGGGGGATGGCTATTGTCTCCCTATATGTTCGTGGGGTAATCTTCGTCTCATGAGCTAGCTTTTAAGATTGAATTAGACCCAATGTCCATGTTTTTATCAATACCCAGTGCAGGTAATTGAATGCTAAAAATATGAGTGTTCTGTCTTCCACAATATTGTGATTGCTGGTGCAGTTATCTGCAGATAATATATTTCGATAAGGTCTATGCAAGAGCTCTACCCTTCTCAAAAAGAAATATGCTGGAGCTCTAATGATTATTTCCTGCTTCCTAGTTGCTACCGTTACTAATCTGTTGGAATTTGACTGTTATTTTTGCCTTTTGATTTCACTAGATACTTGGTTTGAACGGGCAAATGAATTTCTTTAGCCATGACCCAATATATCTCTACTTTGGACTATTGGGTATGTGTCAGGGAAGAGGGATCCACCTTTCTATTTTTTGATGGGTTGGTTACTAGCAATGGTCAATGGAGAAAGTTAATCACATTCTAGAGTTTTCTGATACTTTGGGATTTAAGAGAAATACCTACTGTTATGAATAAATATATTATGCAGAAATCCGATAGATGAAAGCTGCTCAGATAGTAATTTTACATGAACATGCATTTTGCCTCTTAAAACTTTAAGTGCGTTTACTGGTTAGCTTCTGGTGGTTTAGGTAAGACAAGACACTGAAATATTACTCCCTTTTATGGGTTTTCCTTTGATTGCACCGGAAAGCATTGCTTTTTGAAATTTGGCTATCTCCAAGACTTAAACAGTTGTGCTTCAGCGTTGCATATGCATTATGTGTTTTCTGTGTTTCTGTGGTAGCTAAAATATTTCAGATCCTAGATGGATTGCAATGTATGTCTTCTGGACCTTTTGAGAAGTTGGGAACAATTTCATTTATCTTCTTATGATCATCCTTTTACCAACTAGATAATGGTAAAAAGTTGATCTGTCATGAACTCATGTTTTCCCTTTCTAATGATATACTATTAAGAGCCTGTTTGGACATAAGAAATTTTTTCCTTTTTCCAAAAAAATTTCGCTTTTTTCCGAAATCAGCGTTTGTTCATTAAATTTTCAATTTTTACTTGAAGATGCATTTTGGAAATTTTCGAAAATTTGAAAAACTCCAAAAAGCTGTTTTCCAAAATTTTCATTCAAATCACTCACAAAACTTCAAAAACAACCCAAAATTATATTCATGTCCAAACACAACTCTAAATTTCAAATACCATTTTCACTTGAAATTTTTTTTCACCCTATTTTGGAATTTTCCAATTCTTATGTCCAAACGCCCACTAAATATCTTCAGGTTATTGCAAATCGAGCAGCTGAAATACTTGGCCATAAGCGCGGTGACAAACATGTGCATCCAAATGACCATGTAAATAGATCGCAATCTTCAAATGATACCTTTCCTACGGTAAGCCTCCTTTAATGTTACTTTTGTTGCAAGATATGTTGCTATTCTTTTTACAAAATTATGCTGACTTCTTAGTAATGGTTATTATTTTTCATGTGTAGGTGATGCATATTGCTGCGGCAATGGAGCTAAATAAAAGATTAGTACCAA